GCGGACGCATGACGGCCACGGCGAAGCTCTGGCAGCTGCAGTGCTCGCCCTCTCACAGACCCCGCGGCGCCCCTGTCACTCTTTGCCCCTGAGCGCTCCGACTCCATCATGCCTAGGGGCTTCCTGGTAAAGAGAACTAAACGGACGGGCGGCTCTTACCGAGTGCGCCTAGCCGAGCGGGTCTTCCCGCTTCTGGAACCCCCCGGGGCGCCGCCCTTTCCCGAGGAGGCTTCCAGTGCCCCTCAGCCAGGTGTGGAGCGGGAGGCACCCCCAACTCTGGAGGAGGAGGCGGCCAGTCAATTGTCAGGGTCGTCCTGTGGGGCGGCTAGGGTGAGCCCAGCGGCGGGCGGGCGGGAAGGTGCGGAGTGGCGGGCGGATGGTAGGGAGGGTCTGGGTCCCACCCCCAGCCCCACGAAGCCGGCGGGCATGGAACTGCGTCGGGCGTTCCTGGAGCGCTGCCTCAGCTCACCCGTCTCTGCTGAGTCCTTCCCCGGGGGCGCTGCCGCCGTGGCCTCTTTCTCCTGCTCCGTGGCACCAGCAGCTGCACCGACCTCAGGGGAGCAGTTCCTGCTGCCGCTCCGGGCACCATTCCCGGAGCCCGCGCTCCATCCGGACCCCGCGCCCCTTAAGCGGGCCACCGGCGGTGAGCGCCGCGCCAAGGCTCCTTCGGGCTGCGCATCTGGGCCCGCGGCCGCCGGAGTCAAGAAGCCAAAGGCCATGAGGAAGTTGAGCTTCGCCGATGAAGTCACCACGTCCCCTGTTCTGGGCCTGAAGATCAAGGAGGAGGAGCCCGGGGCGCCGTCCCGGGGCCCCGGGGGCAGCCGCACGCCGCTGGGGGAGTTCATCTGCCAGCTATGCAAGGAGCAGTACGCAGACCCCTTCGCGCTGGCTCAGCACCGCTGCTCCCGCATCGTGCGCGTCGAGTACCGCTGTCCCGAGTGCGACAAGGTCTTCAGCTGCCCTGCGAACCTCGCCTCTCATCGTCGCTGGCACAAACCGCGTCCCGCAGCGGCCAATGCAGCCACGATCTCCTCGGCCGACGGGAAGCTGCCCCCATCGTCATCCTCCCCGGATTCCAGGACTGTCGCATGTTTCCTGGCCGAGGGGAAGGAGAACAGCCGGGCGGAGCGAACTGCAGATCAGCACCCGCGGGCCAGGGACAGCTCCGGGGAGGAGCAGCACCAGGACAGCGCCCCGCAGCCCGGCCTCCAGGTGCTGTCCCACCCCGAGCCTCCGCTCCCTTATACCGTGGGGCTGTTGGGGCGCCGGGTGCCCGAGCCCAGCAGTGCTAGTGGTGTCGGGGGACCCGAGATCTTCGTGTGCCCATATTGCCACAAAAAGTTCCGTCGCCAAGCCTATCTGCGCAAGCACCTGGGCACTCACGAGGCGGGCTCGGCCCGCGCGCTCGGGGCCGGCTTTGGCTCGGAACGCGGCGGCCCCCTGGCCTTCGCTTGCCCGCTGTGCGGGGCGCACTTCCCGTCGGCAGACATCAGGGACAAACACCGGCTGTGGCATGCGGTCCGCGACGAGCTGCTCCTGCCTGCTCTGGCCGGGGCGCCTCCCGATGCACCGAACCCAGGCGGGGCATCCGACGGGAGTGCTCAGCAGATTTTCTCGTGCAAGCACTGCCCGTCCACTTTTTTTAGCTCCCCGGGGCTGACCCGACACATCAATAAGTGCCACCCCTCAGAAAGTCGGCAGGTACTGCTGCTGCAGATGCCGCTGCGGCCGGGCTGTTGAGGGCTGAGCCGAGGAAGATTGTTAAGGTGGGCCGCGGAGGAAACGATCCTGGGGATTTCTGTGGGGTTTTCTTCAACTTGCGAGTTTACCCTCTTTCCTTATTTTCTCACCTGAAACTCCCAATAGTGTCAATGTTCCGCCCGAGGAGCGGACAGAGAAATGTAAAATCTCTCTCTAGAGCAGGTATGTATATGGTATAAGCGTTCCCGGTCAAGAATTGTCAGCTTTAAATCTTCCTCACAAGATAGGATTCTCCCCGCCCCCACCAAACTCTGGAGACCCCAACGAATCCTATATGACTTGTAATTCCTATGGAAAGTCGCAGTGAGTGCGTGCATGTCTCTACAAAGGATTCTAGCTACCAAAAGTGGAGGTCTTTTTTTTTTTCTCTAGCCATTGCAAGCGCCTCTGTAGTTTCTGTCTCAATAGGGTCAGATGTCTTGCACTGTATATTCTGTGAATTAAAAGTTATGTGATTGGTGCCAAACTTACATTGGGTGGGTGGGAAATACAAGACCAGTGTCTGTGGGCAGGAAATGTAAGATGTTTGCGAACTTTTGAGTGATGTGGAGATCTCCTTGTAAACTTTCCTTTTCTCAATGCTTAGTCCACTCTGAAGCTAGTGTCTGGAGGTGGGGAATAACACCTCTTACTGAAAGGAATTGAGACCCCTCCCAGATTCTCACCTCTAGCCCTTTTGTGTGCAGTATTCAGGAACCTTTAATATAAGCTTTTGGGAAATACAGAACTCATTTCTTAAAGTTTCAGTTTTAGTAGGATTTCATCCTACTTGTTTGAATGCTTCTGTTGTAAATCTTATAATGTGTATTATATATAACAATATGTTCAGCTTAAGGAAGATGTTAATACTTATAACCCACTATGAAAATGAATAGCAATTCATTCAATATTTCAACAGCAACCTGGCTTTGAATTTCTTTTTGTAAACCATATTTAGCATGCGTTCTGTACCTGTGCCCTAATAGCCAGAGTTTGGAACACTGGCTGAGTACTGCTGGACAGGTAGCCCATATTTGTAAGATGCTTACCACCAAATAAATGTACATAGTTGGTGCTTTGTTGTGTTCTGTGTTTGTCTAAAGAATCCCATTGAACACAGCCTGTTTCTAAATGCCACACTTCTCATCTCCCCAAAGCCAGTAATCTTGGTGACCCACTTAGTCGGAATACAAAGAGAAATTATATTTTGTAAATGATTATAATGGTGCATAAATGGGAGATTTTCCTTGGAAGTATGGCTGCATAGACTGAACTCCAAAAAGCAAGGGATATATACTATTCTTCAAATATTACAGATACTTTACCACCCAAAAATGTCAACAGAAAATATTTTAAATATTTTCTTCTTTTTCAAAGTTAGTGAATAGTTTATTTGAAGATGAGTAAAATGTTAACTGTGCTAATTAACTTCAGTATTTTTACGTTAGTATTTTCAATTTGTTACATATTATCAAACCATTCACTTGTTCATTTCTTTTTTAAAGGAAAAGCACTATAGAAATCTGTAAGTAGGTTATTTTATCTTTTTTGCAGTTCTTCACTTTGGTTGTGGGAAACCATCTATATTGTTTACTCTTGTTCCCAGGGCTCTCTCTATCCATGTTTATCCTTTATATAAGCTTTAACGGGAATTTTAGTTTGTTTTCTACATAGTTTCATAGGCATTTGTTTTTATTTATAAGGAAATCAAAATTTTAAGTGCACAGGAACTCTGAAAGCTTCCTTTACAAACTGTAAAAAGTTTTGTTCCTGAATATATATTACCAAAAAAAGTAAAATTTAAGTAATCAAAGAAGCATGAGGGTGAGATAAACAGATGCTTTAACCAAGTGCATTGGAGGAAGTTTCTGGCGAAAGGCTATGAAAGTGAAAACTGTATTTTTAGTAACTGTGGTTAGGATCTCTGAGAAATAAATTGGGGTGTATCCAAAGAAGAGAATTAAAATTCATTTTTCATGATTAGCTAAGATAAACTAGGTTTATGCTTTATGGCCCTACTTATTAAGTCTGAAAAAATATAAAAGACCACTCATGAACACAAAATGATAAGAATATTTTTATTGTATTATTAAATACCATCTTTTTTCCACTGTTACAAATTTGTAGATACTACATGAATGATGATACATAATTTATATTTTATAGTTTGCTGATATGATGTATTTATTTACACATGCAGTTAGTACCAATGTCATGCTACATTTCTTTAGGAGATGCTCGTTCAAAAAAAATGTGAGCAAAATGTGAGCAGCTTATCTACTGTGGGAAAGTATTTCTGGATGGTGGAATGTATACCAACCTGCACCTGCATGTTCAATATTAACAATATTAGATTAATTTAGACTCCTGGGTCATGTTCCCTTTTCTTTTAAAATAATACACATAATTTAAGCCACACACTTAGAAAAGTTTTCTTTTTTTTTTTTTTCCTACCCACCCCACCTCATTCTTCCCTTTTTGGTACTTAAGAAAGAACATAGATATACCAGGGTCCAGCAGCCAATAATAAGGGGCCATAATCTCAAAACAGAAGTGGCATTTAACAGTGATACCATTTAAAAAGCAAAACATTAGAAAAATATCTGGAAGCTAAACATGAATCAGAGTTCAGCACAGTGATTTTTCTGGTTAGTAGATATGTCGTGGCATCACCTGCTGCACAGCCAAGAAATGAGACTGCTTTGGGAAGAAAAAGGTAACGCTAAAATTATTTCAGCTGGAACTTGAGATGCTAAAAGACCATTTAAGTGGTTTATTTTGATAACATAAATAATCCATACACATCAAGTGTATTAACAGATCTGCAACTTTTGCCACAACTTTACAAATGTTTAGAGATGTACATTTATTAAAAAATTATATATTTACTGAGCCATAAAGTTGTAATGGGGCACGATAAAATCATGAGGCTATCTGTCCAATTATATTTTGGCTCAAAGTTAATTATGAAATTGAAAGTAAAACTACTTAGACATAATTATTGAGGGAAGGTAAAGGGTGTAGAATAAAGCTTCACCCCTTCCTCCCTCATATGGCAGCTTGGAGTGTGGGGGAAAAAACCAACGGAATAAACAACCCAAATCTAAAATACTAAGTTACAAATTATTGAAATCCAGTGTTTTCTAAAATAAATGTTCAGGAAGGAACATGCATATTACGGCAAACACAAAGCCTGGAAGGGTTAACGCCATGTTCATGCTAAGGTGGCTACTGGTGGCCACTGCCAGGCTGCTGTCTCCTTAGGACTTATTGGCGGAGCCAGAGGAGCGACGCAGCTTCATGGACATGCGGCTTTTGCTCGTTCGAGGAGACATTGGAGAGGCCAGGTCGGCCCCGTCTACCTGTGCCGCTGTGGGAGTTTCACTGGGTAGGATCTCTGGGTAGGAGCCTGTGGGAAACAACAAGCGCATTAGTGCAAATCCTCTGGCTCTCCTACAGAGTAACTTCTCTGCTAGAGATCCAAAGACCTTAGTGAGGTCTTTTGAGAGGAAAAAGCAAGCCCCAGATTTGCTTGTTACAACAGTCTACTAGTATTTTATTTAAAACCCAGTGATCTGGTGGGCTCATGTCATTATAGTAGCCAGAAAGCACCAATTATTATTTCCAGAACCAGAACCAACCAGAGAGCTCCCCAGAAGAAGCAATGGGAAGCAAGATCTTTGGGACAGAAAGGACAGGGATCCAAAGCACCATCAGCATGCATGTGAGGGCTTAAGAAGCAGGTGAGAAGGACCAATTCCTATCTCTCGGGTACAGAATATAATCAACAAAAGGGCCTTCACTGCTCAAACTGGAAAATAAAACAGCACCAAACGTTCCCAAAAGGAACTTAGTAGTATGAGACAATTAAACATGCTAGGAAGTTAAATTTAAATATGTTTTAGGAAGGAACAAGATAAATTCCAGGGGGAGAGGAGGGTGAGGACAAGATCTCTCATCTGAAAGTCAGTTCAAAAAGAAAAAGCTGCTCTCTCAAAATGTCTCAATTTAGAAGAGAGAAGTAATGCTCTTGTTTTCTTAAACTTCTGTAGTCACCAGTAGAGTCAGTAGATTTAAATATTTAAAAGAAGAAAAATTGGAAAATTCTTCGTATCACATACAAAGCAGTTCTTCACCTTTGACGTTATTTCTATGAATTGGGATTCTCTAATTTACAGCAGTGCTACAGAACTTTGCATACTATAGGCACTCAAATATTTCATTAAAAATTAAAACCCCTGAATAAACAAAAAAATCTGCAAAGAACAAAATTTTAAAAATTCTGTATATTTTTAGGCACTTTAATCCAGGCTTCCTTTATGTACATAAAAACCGTGTGTGTCACAAACAAAGGTACATGACACAAGCTGCAGGCTTCAGCTGACCCAGCTCCTTACTCTGCAGGAAACTCCGGCACATCTGTTAGCCACTGGAGCTCCCTGCTGACACTCTGAGCTTGGGAATACTGATACACTGCTTCCACATAATGAGACACTAGTGCCTAAGTTTAAGTTATGAATATCTATAAGGAAACAAAACTGTTCAATAAGGGGTACAGATCCTACTGAGATGTTTTAGAAAATTAAGTATGTATCTCTGTAGAACACTTTGAAGTGTTTTCAAGGTCAAATAGTATACTCAAGAACAAGTATACATTGTCAAGGAAAAACAAGTATATTGTCAAGGAAAAAATATTTTAGCACTAATCCTAATTCTAATCCTAATCCTAAAGTAACTTCTCCAACATTCTTTCTTTTCTAACTGAATGAGGCTGGCCTTCAAAATACAAGGAGGACATGTACTTCTGTTCGCCCTTACTTTTCCCAAAGATCTGAACTGGTTCATGCTGGACCCATACTGGAAATCTTTAGAGAATATGAATCCACGGCCCTTTTTAGGGGAGCACTGCAGATGGGTGGCAGAAGGAAGGTGAAGAGCAGTAGCTCATGCTTTTCGGGTAATGCATACTTTTTTCCGGCCAGTCATGAGAGGCCTTCCCATGTCTGTTTACCTTGAGATGGCCAATGTTTTCTAGTGGAGGTTTGGGGAGGAAGAGAACTATCACTGCATTTCTTTCTTTGTTGTGAATGAAGAAATGGAGTAGCGAGCAGAAGTGAGAAAACAAAAGAGAAGACAGATAACAGATATGAGCGACATAGTGCAGAATTTTACAGGTGTTAACAGAGGAGCCGAGAAGACAGTAATCAGGTTTTTATTATGAAATACAATTGGGCATGCAATGTGTTAGGGTGATGAAGTTTCACAATGGACAAATGCTTGTACATTCAAATGCTATACTTACCCACTAACAAAACAAGTTCAAATAGGAAAAAAGAAAAGAAAAAAAAGGTCTATGAGAAATTCTATAAACATCTACCTTTTCAAGTGTTCATTGTACTGGTGGCAGGTTATCCTAATCACTCAATCATAGATTCTCTTGGGCTGTGCTGTCCAACATGGTAGCCATAGCCACATTACAGTTAATTAAATGAAAATTTAAAATTTGGCTCCTTGATGCACTAGCCACTTTTAAATTGTTTAGCAGTCACAAGTGGGTTAGTGGCAACCCTAATGGACAGTGCAGACATAGAACATTTCCATCATCACAGAAAGGAACGCTGCTTAGAGTATGCCAAATTCAAAGAACTTTTTTTTTTTCAAAAACAGCAATTCCTCTACGTCCCCCTTACTGCCTTCAAGGTGAACCCCTTTTCAGTCAACTGAGTCAAATTGGACTTTTTAGTGTGTGTGTGGTATAGAGCTATTAGGACCTCCTCACGTTTTAGCAAATGATGTTTGTGCTGGATACTCAGCATACCCAAATTCCATAAATAATCAATGGTGGATAGATAGATCTCAGTTTTAGATTTAAAGAATAATGTGATACTTGCACTTCATTTCACATCCTACTTTAAGTACTGACTTATGTCACCTGAGTCATAAAGAATACTGACTTATCTCTATAAATAACATATTCTCAAGTATCAAGTTTAAAAAGTATATGCTCCTATGCTTTACAAAATGTATCTATTACTAATGTTTTTACAGTACTCACACAGACTGGTGTCTGTATCTTGATGGTACAATATATTGATTCATATTTTGTACACTGATTACAATGAACTTTATTACAAGCAACATAAGAATATGACTTTGGGGATCTATAAAGGTTATAAAAGGGCACTTAATGGATCGTTATTTGTTGTGGCTTTGATTATACTACTTGCTGACAGGTCTGACCCATTTAAAACTGCTAAACTTACTGGAGCTACTAAATGATGCCTTTAAAAATATTGTGACTTTGAAAGCAATTCTAAATAATATTGAACTAAGAGGTAGCGTCATGTTAGAAACAGCACAGGCAAGGGTTAGACAGACCTAAGTTAAATGACAAGTTTAGTTCGCTGGATACTGGGCAAACTAACCTGAGACAGCTTTCTTATTTGTAAAATGGAGACAATACTAGCTGTATTCCAAAGTTGTGGGAATGAATGGCTACAAATGCAAAGACCCTGACATAAAGCAGGTATACAATAAAACTACAATAAGAGCAAAACTTAACAGACTTTAAATCAAAACAGATGAAGATTAGAAAAGACGTGATAGAAACTATAAATAGTTTTTGAAGAAAATGACCAATAACAAAATGTTAATTGGTAAAATGTGGAGAACATAACCATTTAGTTTGGGGGAAAATAGAGAATTTATCCACTTTTATGTTAATGTTCCTACAAAATATAACCTTTGTTAAAGAACAGATTACCCAAATAATCTTACTGCTTTAATACCGTTAAAGGAGTAGATATGTGGTTAAAATTAGTGTGGACGCACCACTGAATGTCATAAAGTTAACACATAATTTAAAATAAAACAACACAGAAATACAGGCAAACATGAGGTTTCTTACTGAGATATTCAAGAACTACCATTATTGCAGACTGAGAACATATCAGTCTAAACTTGTCGTATTTTATTTCCTTACAAATGGGAAAGCTGGGTTTCAGTTCAGTCGCTCGGTCGTGTCCGACTGTTTGCGACCCCATGAATCGCAGCACGCCAGTTTAGGATAAATGAATTCATTTGAGTTCATGGAGATAATAAACAGCAGAACTAGAATTTAAATCCAGATCAGTCTGACTTCCAAAGCCCATAGTTCTCCCACGGCAACCTTAAAACTATATAAAAAATAATGATTTTTCAATGGGTGGAAAAGTAGAGCCTTCAAAATAAAAATTTTTAACAAACTCTAATTTGCAAACATGACAGGTTACTGGGCAATTTCTCTCCTCCCTCAATATCAAGATGGGACTGAAAATATTTAGACTAAATGAATAATTATAGTAGTTAAGACTGTGCACTCTGAAGTCAGACTCTGACTACCAGGTGACTGGGTAAACTTTTTTGGTTTTCATCTCATAGGAGATTCAATTAGAGGATGCACAGTGATTGTGCAATTATTGTTATTTTCATTACACAAATTTTATATCTGAATGACTGGTCTATGTGAAAACTGAACCTAGTAATTATTGTTTTTAAAGGTTAATGGACTTTATTTAAGATTAATATTATCTGCTTCTTGGTCAACATACAAGCCAAATTTCTAAGTTCAAAATACTTAGAATATATTTGGCTGCTTTTAATTTGAGGCTAACCTACTGATAAATAAATATCATTAGGAATTTGTTTTTAAAAACACAGTAAACAAACGTATAGCTTATATGTCAAAGGCAGTTGATTTTCTATTGGCACTCACAAATAATACTTAGGATATATATAAAATAACTATCTTCTGAAAAGCTAAAATGTTTTCTTCTAGATCATTTCAAAGTCTAGGAAAAGGAGAAAACTTTAATGGCTAAATTTTGATGATTCATTCCATTGAAAGATTCAAAGAGATGGGCCTGACAATTGTAATACTGTCTCATCTACATGTGGCAATATAGATTTTATGAATTAATAGCAAAACTGAGGTTGGAATGAAGATTAGATTCTACTATAGGTCTTCTTAATCACTATTTGGATTATTTGAATCTTATTACTAATTTTTAGAATATTTACTTAGGAACCTGTATGTTTTCTAAAGGTAATTATACAAAGTGGTATGTATATGTAGATAAACATATATTTATGTGTAGATATAGTTGACCCTTGAATGTGGGGATTAGGGATGTCAATTCTCTATGTAATATGCCTATAACTTATAGTCAGCCCTCTATATATGCAGTTCTCCCTATAGGTAGGTAGTTCTTGTTCCTCTATCTGTGGTTCTGCATTCATGGATTCAACCAATCTAATATTGTGCAGTACTGTAATATTTGCTACTGAAAAAAAATGCATGTGTAAGTGGACCTGTGCAGTTCAAACCCATGTTGTTCAAGGGTCAACAGTACATGTATATGTGTGTGTGTATATGTATATATGTGCAAGTTGAGAGGGAGTCAAGTACCAATCAACTCTTTACTTTTTAAAATACTAAAATCTCTAACAATCTGTAGAGAAACAAATCCAAAGGGAGGTATCCAATACTAGTTCAACTGAAATAATAGAGTATTAGAGGTAACTCTAGATATGCTACTAACAGAATGTATTCAAAAATACTTATGGCTGATGATAATAAAAAAACATAACACTGGAAAAGACTTGGGGTGGAGGAGAAAAGACAAGAGTTACTTTGAGAAGATAATATGACATTAGGGGAAAATATCAGGATTTTGAACTGCCAATATAATCTGACCAGGAAGAGGAGTAATTTCAAAGTTTAGAGCTAGAGGAGAGGTGTTCATGAATATTAAGACGTTAAAAAAGAAGGTCACTGTAAAACTTTTGATATTTTCCACACACATGCCTGACAAAGATAAAGGGATTTTTTTCCTGTAATTTTTTTTTTAAATAAAGGACATGAAAAATCTAATAATGTTTTAATGTGGTTATGGAAGATCAACAATGTGTGACATCACGATATCTCCTTCAATGACCTTAGGGATAAAAATAATTTCCCTTAAGTATCAGTCTACTGCCACAGACAGAGTCCATTTTGAGAAAATATAGTTATGAAATTTATGGATCAACTATGATGCAACAAAAATGTTTTTCATGTCTATTTAAATAATACTAAAAATTACCTAGAAAAATCCTCCTTGGATTTCAATGTCATCACAACTGATTAAAATTACTGTTATACAGGAAGTAGGTATTAAATAAGCTTGAGCCAAGTTAAGTACACTTATAGTAGTATTTTTCCACTATTCTACTGAATAGAATTATATTACAGGTTTGGTTAGAAGGAACAGAATTATATCCTTTATATGATTATCATTCTTGTATTCCTTTAAAACAATTTCAATTTACTGTATTGATTAGTATTAGTTTATATAGATGTGGTATGCATTGGCTATCTAAATTGATTCTCAACTGCAGTTCTGAATGCCATTTCCTTAGTGTGGCAAATCAATTTTTTCATTATATTAAAAAGTAATAATGAACCTAAAAATCTTCACACTACTATGCAATTTTTACAAACCATAAGTCAGGTCCATATGGCTATTATGTGGCCTATTTTATGTCTTCTCTCTATACTTTAACTTATAACTTTAAAGGGAGTTCTGCACGTATGAGTTGGTTTGTGACAGGAAAATCAAAATCTGAGCTGATTGGGGCAAAGAATCATTCTTCAGATGTCATCATGTTTTTGCTACTGTAAATGGGTAAATGTTTCCTTTTTTATATTATTGTGTTTAGTTGAAAACCACTCTGGGGTCTCTCTGGGGGTCCAGGGGCGAAGACTTCGCTTTCCAGCGTAGGTGTGTGGGCTCCACCCCTGGTCAGGGAGCTAAGACCCCACATGCCTTGCGCCCAAAAAATCTAACACAAAACAGAAACAATATTATAACAAATTCAATAAAGACTTTAAAAATGGTCCACATTAAAAAAAAAAACACCTTAAAACTACTCTGATAAAAATTTTATCTTTCATAACTATTCAAGTCTGTAAAAAAGCATAAAAATGTATTCAGTAATACTGGAAAAGTTATTTACAGGTAAAAAGACCTTTTAAAAAAAACTCAAGGTCATGTTTCTAATGGTTCCTAAAAGCAAAGACAATTGGAAAAAAAATTAACCAGGGACTTTGCTGGTGGTCCAGTGGCTGGGACCTCTGGGTTTCTTCTAATGCGGGGGCCAGGGTTCATTCGATCCCTGGTTGGGGAACTAGATCCTGCAAGCTGCGACTAAGATCAGCCACAACCCCCTCACCCCCAAATTAACCAAAGAGCCTTGAGTTGGCTGCTGTATCATCATCCTTTACCTGAAGTCTCAGAAAGTGAGAATACTACTTACTTCCCATATTATGTATCTGGTCAAATGTGCAGGATAATACATAAAATATAAGAAAAACATTAAGAACAGGAATATGAAGGACTCCAGCTAGTAAACAACTACAACATAAAAACCGACAGCCTGTATACATTTAAGGGGAGAAGTTAGTCTGAACATGGTCTTATCAATATTTTCACTTGTGAAACTTATGGTTCAGCTAAGATACACAAAAGTGTTCATGTCTATTTCAATAATGTAGTCTGATATTTTATCAGATATTCTATTAAAAATGAAATATCCAGGTATACTTAACTAGTTTTTACTTGGTTGTTCATTAATTTTAGTATCTTTCTTTTACCATCTTTCTTAATGCCAAGCTGAGTAATTTCAGATAGTATCAATCCACCAAAGCAAACCTTAAGACTTTTTAAATCTTTCAAAAGATTGAACCCAGTCTAATATAATTTTCTCTTTGTTAGGTATTTTATATTATTAATTGAAAGGGCTCCAAGTTTCTTTGTAAAATTATTTTTATAATGGCCAATTATATGGTGACAGTAATTGAAACTTTAATTTCACAGACTAAACCTCAATTGAGAATTATTATTTTTTTCAAACCAATTAGTCCAGAAAAGTACTGTGCCTGTTAAACTTATTTAATACAAAGAAAACTTATATAGTATAAAGAGAATTTGAAGGCTTGTTAAAATGAATTTCAAGTATCCTGTATTCTTTTTTCCTGCTTCCCTTGATCATTAAAATAGTTTTTGTATTTCAGGTAGGTGCCTAGTACAGTGTAAGGCACACAACAATAACTATTTGATGAGAAAGGATATCCAGTAACAATGCAACACATTACAAACTACAGACACACCATTTCAGTTCAGTAGGACTACTTTTTCATGCTGAGAAATAAAAAGGTCAATACAACAAGGTGTAACTAACTTCAACCAAGGGTTCTATTATTAGTTATTTTTATCCCAGAACCAATGTTAGTGTTTCATGCAGACCTAGGTTAGTAAGTATAATTCTGGAAGAAATTTAGTGACAATTTCTGAAATGTTTAGTATGAACCAGGGCAGTGTTAAGTTTGCTTATTAACTGAGTTACAAGCTTAGTGCTTGCTAACTTTTAAAAAAGGAAATGGGGGAAGAACAAAGGGTGTTTTGTGTGACACTTTGTCTTACCTTCAGATAAACAGAACTGATATTTAATGATCTAAAGAGGGAAAATAAAATAAATGAAACAATCATAAGGAGTGCAAAGTATTACAGAATAGGAAGGCCATGAGTCATTTCTTACTGATTTCTTAAAAATTAGTTAATTGTAAAAATGCAGTACCCTCTTATAATCTTCAAATATTATAAATAATTTACTGTTAAGTACTTCTAAATCTAGACCAGTTATTTTAACCTTGTTTGTAAAATCAGAGATGATAAGGCAATATTCTTGGCCATAAAATTTGATCCTCCAAATTTGAGAGTGCCTGCTCAACTGTGTTTCTTTTGCAGATACTTCAGCAATGATTCTGTGAAATTGTTACTGCCCTTTAGCTAAGATAAAATGTAGTGTATGTGTTTTTAATGAAGACCATTGATGTTTAAAGGAACTGTATTTAGGTAAAAGAAAGTATAAATCAAATTTATAGGCCAAATATGAAAATAATGATGAAAAATATCTATACTTCAATGACTGGAATTGTATTCAAGTAAGTTTTTCATTAAGAGTTTTGTTTTTTTCTCAGAACAAAAGGGTATTGCATTTCAAGTTCGAATAATGACCAGTAACTAATACTTGCTTTTAACCTTACCGGCATCAGATGGTAAATGATGGTAGGGAGCTGGAGAAAAAACCTGTGCTGCAAAATCTTCAAATGTCGTTGGTTCTAAATGGTGCTGGACAATCGTTTGCAGATACCGTGCTCTCTCCTCATAGCTGATTTCCTTCAGTTAAGGTTGAACTTAAGTGCAGCTTACATCAGAAAAGAACAGATCTGCTCAAAAAGGCCTATCACTGCTAAGCCATTACTTCTTAATAAATATATTCGTCAACTATTCTTGCATATCACAAAGAGTAAAAAAATGTAGCTATTAACATAAGTTTACTCTTTTGGACACCACTATACCTGGTAGCTTAACAGGGATACATTTATTAGAATATAACTAACAGTAAACTGTTGGAAGAAAGAAAGGTTAACAGTTTACTTGGAAGAGGATTCAACTGCTACCAGGGCCGCCTAGGCTCATCTTGTCTGGTTAAGCAGCTTCGATCTGCAGATGTACTCTGAAAAGCCACATGATAAATATTATAATGCTGCTTAAAATACTATGTCTGAAATTCTATTTTTCATTTGCAATGATTTATTGTGAAAAATTCCTGCATATCTTCTTCTTTTTCTAAATCCCTGCATTTTCCCAACAATTGTTCTCATTTTGAATGGAAGACTACTGTTGCTGTAATCCTTGAATAACTCCATGCAGTTAAGATAAATACACAGTTGAATCTGTATGTCAGAAAAAAATACATAGTCAATTATAACACTGAAACAGGCAGGAATATTTGCAAAGAGTCCACAGGACTCCTAAATACTGTCTAACAAAAGCATCTACAGGGCACTGACACTGACAGAAAAATACTGTACTTCCCTTTCACCGCATTTTCTTCTCTGATATTATTGACAAGCAACCAGTACCTTGAAGTGTTGTTGCTTTTGAACAACCCACTCCAGGCTTCCTGTTTCAGCAGGCCTGATTGTGCTGTTAGCACAGAGAAGGCGAGAAAGAGAGAGAATATTTCTGTTGTTCACGAAAGCAACTATGGAAATGGCTGTCAAAATGTAGAGCAGCAGGCAGCAACATACAATTATCAGGAAAAACTCACACGCTGACTTCATGTCGTACAGTTCCTGAACTGAGAAATCCGTTAACCTCTCTTCTACAACTTTTGAAAGTTTTCCTGCTGTACTCAGTGTGCTACGTTGATAGGCTTTACATAAAACATATAAATTTACATAAAACATACAAATAAGTACGAAGGATAATAAAAATTTGCCTGTTTCTTCTTCCCTATTCATTGAATTTCCCCTAAAACCCATTTTAATATTTTACCCTCAAAATTCATTATTCTTTCTTTTTAAAATTGCAATTCAATTTTTGTTCTTCAGTTCTTTAAACTGTAGACCAGGTCTATAATCAAGGCCAAGAAAAAATTTTGAGAGGAAGATAATTTAAAATGTTAATTCAGTGGGAGATCCCATAGCCAGTTACATTTACGAGTCATTATTGAGAGAAACAAAGTTAAGTCTATATTCATTATGCACTTGACTTAAGAGTGTGATGTCTTTTGCCATCTAAATGACTTGAGTAATCTCTTATATTACATTTTATATATCAAATATTCAAATAATATTAATTCCAATTCCTTGTAATCTGTTCTTTTCACTTCTGGGGCTGAACTTCAAAATGATTTCACTCCTGCAATGGGTAGCAACAGGAAAAGATGCTATATTAAAATGATCAGCAGTAAGGATTTTATAGAAGGATCATGCAGACATTTTTGAGTGTTAACCCAGAAAAGTAATATAGCACACTTTTAAAAGAGAGTATATGGTTATAAATGAAAGGGGATGCAACTGATGGTTCAATCTAAATAATACCACATATCTCACAACTTGTTGGAAAGTACTTTTTTCATTGGGGGAGATTCACAGCTGCCGAATTTTCTGCAGTTAATAGAGTCCTTTGATTCACAGCAGTGCCCCTTGTACAAAAAATACTGGCCTTTGTGTATTACCAGAAACTAATTTTCTATTTGGCTGAAAAGGGAAAAATGGGGTTATTGCTTCTCCCTCCTACAGAGCTTTTCATTATGCCTGATGCACTCAACTTCTAAGCTCTTCTGAGAAAAAAAATAACTGAAGAGGCAAGAGGTAGAAAAATGAGCTTGTTAGCACATTAGAAGTGAAGTATCTTGGTGGGCCCTAGAAATTCCCAGTGGTGTGTTAACTTATCACGCTATGCATGCTGGCACTGATAGTCTCCCAATTGATCACTCTCTTTTCGCACCAAAGGTGCTGCCAGGAAGCAAAGGCTGAAGGCCCACAGGAGAACAGTCTGCTATCAAAACAAGCTGTTTTTAAAAGTCTGCTTGAATGGGTAAAATGCTTCATGAAAAGTACGGTGGAGACACCTACCTGCTTTTAAAATGCTCTACTTTCAGAGGGCCTATAAATGAAATATTTTACTTTATCTTATTATATTTAGAGTTTACACAAAAATTAGACAGAGAGAAAGCAAATTTAGTATTTCTAAAGCAAGCAGAATACTTCCAAAGTAGTAAAATTTATTTGAACAAGAAATGAATATCTAGAGAAGATACATTTTGGGGTGTAATTCTACTTCACTATATAAAAGGAGATTCATAAAACTCTCAAGAAACTTCAATAATAAAGCTATACAAACTATCTAGACATAATGGATTCATTTTATAGAAAAACCACATGATGTACTTAATAAAATTGCAAAAAAAATCATTAGAGGTAATAATGCTTACTAAACAATTTTTAAAGTTCAAGTATAGGTGGCAGTGTGAAGTGTCAACAATCACTGACAGTTGAATTTAAATGAAAAACTGTAATGGTGATGTCTGCAGTTTACTTTTGGGGGATTATTTTCAGAAAATACTGTTAGCTTAGTAACAGTAGACTACAGTAAACCACATTCTAAAAGCTAAATTCTTTCTAATTTTCCAAGTTTGCTGTAGTCAAATAAAAAAAGCACAAACAATAATATCAAAGCAACCCAATCTATGTACTTACATCTTTTCTCCTTTTACTTTGGAAAACATATATTAAGGTGATATACTGAACTCGAAGTACTTAAACCATAATCCTGAGTCCACAAACAAGGAGCCTTTTGTGACTAAGACGATTATAAAGTTCTAAACAGTGATGTTAGCATCTGTAATGGTAACCATAATCCAAAACAGTTAATTCCTATATGTCCTTAAAATAGGTTACCCACTTATTCCTTAAAAGGCAGCTCTCTAGGGAAGAGTTATTAGTACCTACAAATTGAGTGGCCTACACAAACCTGATGGATAATAACAATTCAAGCTATATTCCTACTGCAATTGTATGTTGCCATTGGCATTGAAATTATAAATGAAATCGGTGAGATGCTAAAAAGGTGATGGCATACTTACAAATTCAGAGTAAAACTTAAAAGTACAAGTCTAAGTTGAATTAAGACAGTTTTTGTTGCAAATCTAAAACAACTGAAGCCAAAACTAGCTAGTAAAAAGCCATTTGATGAAGGAGACTTTTGTCTGGTAGGAATCTTTAATACAGAACTAGCCAATCAAAAGAAATAACACACAGGTGCTGCAATCACAGCAATATAATTATCCACTAATCCTCCTTTCCTTCTACTTTCTGCAAAAGCAGAAATGGGGGGAAGGAGTATTACCCATACTAAAAATAAGAAAAAGGAACTAAATATTTTTTATAGTATAAATAAATAGTTTAAACCCAATCTGTACTTCATTAACACAATGTTAACATCAGTATTCATTTTAAGTAACTACTTTTGATTTTAAACTGACATATGAAATAATAAACAATGGCCCTCTGTCACTGGATCAAGATCAGCTGTTATGAAACTAGGGTTCAATTTCAGCCCACTCCTGGAAAGAGATGCATGAATTCTCTGTGCCACATTTTAATCTGAATGTTAAAAACAGTTATTTTGACCTTTGACTCAAGTCCTTGTATCAGGTTGGTGCAAAAGTAACTACGGTTTTTGTATTGTTGAAATTTGCCGTTTGATACTGGAACACATTCTAAATTAATGTGGTTATGTTATACATCATTTTAATTTGCAATTCTCACCTTTTTTTTGCTAATGGCTTATTACTTGCTGTTTACATTTATTTTAGACTATGGAAATAATGTTCGATAAAAAGCAATTTCAAGCAATTTTCTTATTTGAGTTCAAAATCAGTCATAAAGCAGCAGAGACAACTTGCAACAGCAACAACTCATTTGACCCAGGAACTGCTAACAAACGTACAGTGTGCAGTGGCGGTTCAAGAAGTTTTGCAAAGGAGACACGAGGCCTGAAGGTGAGGAGTGTAGTGGCTGGCCATCTGAAGTTGACAACGATCATTTGAGAGAGACCATTGAAGCTGGTCCTATTACAACTACATGAGAAGCTGCGGAAGAACTCAACATCAACCATTCTATGGTCTTTTGGCATTTGAAGCAAATTGGAAAGATGAAAAAGTTTGGTAAGTGGGTGCCTCATGAGTTGACCAGAAATAAAAACATTGTTTTGAAGTGCTGTCTTCTCTTATTCTATGCAACAACAATGAAGCATTTCTTGATCAGACTGTGACATGCAACAAAAAGTGGATTTTATACAACTGGCAATGCCCAACTTGGTGTGGTGAGACCAAGAAGCAGCTCCAAAACACTTCCCAAAGCAAAACTTGCACCAAAAAAAGGTCATGGTCACTGTTTGGTGGTCTGCTGCCCATCTGATCCACTACAGCTTTCTGAATCCCAGTAAAGCCATTATAACTGAGAAGTATGCTCAGCAAATCAATGAGATGCACTAAAAACTGCAAGAACTGCAGCCAACAGTGATCAACAGAAAGGGCCCAATTCTCCATGACAATGCCCAAGCGTGCGTCACACAACCGATGCTTCAAAAGTTGAATGAATTGGGCCATTAAGTTTTGCCTCATCCACCATATTCACCTGACCTCTTACCAACGACCACTTTAAGAATCTCTACAATTTCTTGCAGGGAAAATGCTTCCACTACCAGCAGAATGCAGAGAAATTCTTTCCAAAAGAGTTCATCGAACCCCAAAACAACAGATTTTTATGCTATAGGAATAAACCAACTTATTTCTTATTAGTAAAAAATGTGGAT